CGCTAACACACACACACACACACACACACACACACCTGTACAAAGCGTGTTCATGAACACCTGAACTCACCTCATTCTTAGCAAACAGCAGCATGCCGATCATAGTGAAGAGGCAGAGGTGGAGAGCCAGCAGCAGGATGACACTGCAGAGACATCACACACACGATGTTTAACCTTTGACCCACAGCTGCTCCTAAACTCTGACTAAAGCTCATCATCATCATCATCATCAGCTGACACTCATACTGGGAGACGCTCTGACTCGTAGACTGAATCAGCCTCGATTCAAACGCCGTCTCGTTCACTGACCTGTGGTCACAGTGTCGTCCTTTTAAATATTTCCTCATCATAAACTGAGTATTAATCACGTTCATCCTGTTTTCAGGATGATAACAGACGTAGTCTGAGACTGAGGATTCCCTGCGTGCCCACTGAGCAGCATCATCAGTGGGAGCTCAGCTGTGTGGGCCAATCACATGGCACCAAATGTTCAAAGGAGGAAGACGGAGGCAAAAATCCTGAAGCAGTTTTATGGTTTTCAAGAATGAAGCTGTAACAGTTTAGAAAGCAAAACGTGAGCAATCATTTATTAGTTGTAGAGTCGCCGCTTCGCTCGATGAGCAGCCCGCGGCCACAGGCTGAGGAAGCAGTGACAGAAGTGAGAGTTTGCTGATGTCTGTGGCGGCGTTTTTATCCAACGAGTCAGAAGTGAAATTAGAAATAACAAACCGAGTGAGAGTTTCGTTCTAGTTTCAGCACAGATCACAGAAAATACCGACCAGCGTGGCGCTCTGTGCCGGCTGACCTCACCACACAGCTGTGGCGGTCTGAGAGCTCGCAGGTGAAGCAGGCGAGGTTCATTCCTGACAGTCAGCTGACACCCAGCAACAAACCCTCTTTGAATCTTTCATTTGTTCTGCGATGGTCAGACTCTGAGATCTGCTCACGCTCTTTCCATCTCACCGCTGGCGTTTGGATTTAACGTGACGACACAAAGGATGTGGGTGAGCTGTGCTTCCTGAACAGCAGAGCACGTCCCAACAGGCGGACATGTTTGGGATACCTGGCGATCTCCGGCAGCGTCCTCTTGATGCACTTCAGCGTCTTCTTCATGAGCGAGGAGTTCTGCAGGAGGAAGAACGGCCGCAGGAGCCGCCGCACCCTCAGTTTCTGAAGAAGGAAGGAACATCAACCCGGGACTTTATTTTGACTGGTTTACGTCCCCTGACCTTTGACCTTTGTGTATTTTCTGTATAGCAGAAAAATCAAACCTGGACTGATCCTCACCTCGTCACACACCATGCTGACGGACAGCACCCAGTCCATGACAGAGATCAAAATGACCACCGTGTAGCCAATCAGCCACTTGCTCTTCCTGAACTCCTCCCAGCCAATCAAATAGCTCTGTGGGAAAAAAACACATCCAGAACCGGATCGATGGGAAACTCTGATTAAACGTGTTTTCCTCGCTCACCTTAACAGCGACGTCTACAGAGAGGATGATGAGGCAGATCATCTCGATGCTCTCGGTGAGGCCGCAGGGAGGCTGCCAGGCTGGAGAGCGATGCCGGGGGTCCGAGGAGATGGAGAAGGAGGACGGGCGCTCCATGAAGGCCAGCAGCAGCACCGCCGCAATGGTCAGACCCAAACCCCTGAAGGCGGAGAGAGAGGAGGGCTCTTTAAACTCACAGAAACACCGCGAGCGCTCTCAGGGCGACCTTTAAACATCGTCAGTGTAGCTTTAGAGCACAAACACGGATCCTCAGCTCCTCCTGCACCATCAGGCAGGGCTGCAGGTCATACGTGATCAGCATGCTTTACAATCCTCAGCCTGTCGCACTACAGGCAACAAGTTCTTCATTTGTGGCTGAGAGAAGCAGAAACATGACTTTTAATAAAAAGCTTGTTGGCTGCTAACCAATCAGCAGCTGTTCTCAGGTTCCCACACGGCCTCATTCACTGGGAGATTTACTCTTTTTTCCCTTTTTTGGATTAACTTTCTATTTTAACATTTGGTAAGGAGACCACATGTGAACACTTCTGTTGTTTCAGCTTCGCCTGTAAACATGAACCCCCCCTCCCCCCGCTGGGGTCACTGTGACTCTTTAAAGCGTCTCACAGAAAACTGATCTGAGGTCTCGACGCTCTCGCTCACAGCTCAGAATAGGACCAGCTATTTTTAAAGCAGCGTCCACGGAAAGAGCCAGGACACTCAGAGCCAACGGGACATGTCTGTGACACACCATGGGACACTGTGGGACACCGTGGGACATGTCTGTGACACACCGTGGGACATGTCTGTGACACCGTGGGACACCGTGGGACATGTCTGTGACACCGTGGGACATGTCTGTGACACCGTGGGACACTATGGGACAACATGTCTGTGACACCGTGGGACATGTCTGTGACACTGTG